ATCTGGAGTTGGGCACCCTCTAAAATAAACAAATAAGAAAAGTCATTACCTTTATTCTCTCATTTTCACAGGGTGGAAGAGCGTCTGGATGCCAGCAAACAGAAGATGTTACGCTATGCAGAAGCATTTAAAAACCAGGACAAGGAGGATTTTGATAGGTTTTCTGGGAAACTACACCTTGAACCGTTCCAATTCAAGACAGAAGCATCTCCATCAGTCTCACGAAGCACTACTCTGAGTAGTTGCCACCGTGGTTGGCAAATCCTGCGGCACAACACCTTCAGCCACCTTCGCGGGGAAGTGAATCATGCTTTGGAAGAAGAGGTCTACCATGTCTGATGTACCTCTTGAGTGACTGGTCGCATTACTGGTGCTTTGTGCTGCTTCACAAATTCTTCCAGTAGCTGGCAGGATTTGAGGGCAGCGATATCAGGGTTCAGGATGACTTCAGTCTTTCTAAGTTCATCTCTTCCCTTGTTCTCTGAAGGACCAACTCTGGGGAGAATTTAGATTAAAACAAGAAAAAAGGTAAAATCCACAAACCAGCTAAAACCTAGCATTCCAAAATCCAAAATCCAAAAACCAAGCTTCTTTAAGAGCTTGAGTGTCAGTTTATCACTTTTCCCATACTGTTCCACTGAAAGGGGTAGAATAGGTTATTGTTTTTTGATATAGGATTTCAATGCACTTTAAACTAAATAGGTGACATGGGATTTTATCCCAAATAGAATTTTTGTAGCCAATATGATAGGATTTTTTTTTTTTTTTGGCTGAATTGAATTCCGTTAATGTTTCCCTTGGGGAGTGGAGTGGGGAAAAGGTTTACAAACATTTATGTTAATATACAGCTGTCTGTTTATTCTTGCTGGCTTGGTATCAAGCCTGTTAGTGCTCTTTGTCTTGTCTAACAACTACTGTACAGTCCCAGAATTTTGCTTAAAGAAATCTGAAAAAAAAAACCCTAATTGAATAAAACCCTAACTTTAAGTCTAACTTAGCAGGTGAAAGCCTTACAAAATTCTTCCAAGGAATACTGTGTATCCCTAAGAAAGCATCAAGATTTGCTTAAAGTAGAATCCAAAGTGATATTAAAAGTTTCTGCTCAGCCAAAAATAACTGCAATTAAATTGAGTGAAAAGTTTCAGAGGGCTTTTCACAGTCTCTGCTTCCAAGGTTCAGATATGGCCTTCCAACTTGAAAAGAAGATCTTTCCAAATATAAAGTGAAGCAAAGCAGGTGCTTCTTTAATTTGTCTCCAGCTTTCTTATCACTTCAAACTTAACTCCAGAAGGGGGAAAAAAACCCAATATTTCATCACTTAAAGAAAAGCAATGACTTACTGCCTTTCCAGCAGCTGAGTGAAAAGTTACTCCCATTCCTCTGCCGCAGGAGCAATGAGAGGAGGTCTCAGCTGATCAGAGGATACATATTTGCATTTCCATTGCCAACATACATTGACCTGAGCTATGCAGCATCAAAGAATGATACAGACGATTATCAGGCCTTGACAATGTGATTCCTGCTTGATATACTATTGCACGAATTTAGCTCTGGCCTTCAAGGATGATTTGGCTTGATTCTCATTCCGTAATAAAAATGCATTTTCTATGGACAGATGTCTTCCAACTTTCCAGTTGTATGTGAGGGTCCATTGCAGTGGTCAAATGTTCCCGAAGGACCCTCTGCCTGCTACTAGTGATCTTGCTTTTTGTTGAACTTTGACAAAAGAAAGCTATGAGTGCATTTTCAGACGTACCTTCACTTCCAGGAGGGCAATTCAGAGACTAGTTAGGGTGGGAAGGGTGCCACTTGAACTGATTGCACACCCTGAAGATGGCTCTCTGCCCCTCTGAACTCCAGTGACTGACAGGGTAAGGGGAGGATTTCTAGAGAAAAAATGGGGAGGACCTTTTTATCTGAGGATGAAGTTTGGAAGTTACCTCTTCAGGCTGAAGTTGAATGGAGATTTGTTAAATCACTGTGATGAACTGAAGTAGTCTTTGTTATTCATGGTTACATGTATTTCCTTTATAGACGTGTGGCTTTTGCACTATATGCCTCTGAAAATACAATTTGCACATGTATAAAACTGTGATCTGTGATGCTTTAAGGAAGTTGGAAGGTAATTTTATTTCATGTCTTAATATTCTGACTTCATATTTTCCCCAAATAAAGTCTTATTATAGGAATTCCTTAGGGGCTAGTAAAAGTATAGTCATTTCTCCAGCTGGCATAGGTCTTATTAGTTTCCCCAAATGATCGGACAAGGACCTGCACCATCTATGATGTAATTAATGGGGTACCAGATTATTTGAGGCAGGAGGATTTTTTTCCCCCCTGGACTCTGCTAGGAAATGGTGTTTTAGAATATCCATTGATTAAAATATAACCTTGCTTGCTGCATAACAGGAATATGAGTTTCAGCTCAGTTTTCTCTCTAACATGCAGTCTTTGGAGGTACAGGAGTTTATCGGTGGTGGTTTTTTTTAGTAAGGCAGCAGTCAGGTATTTGACATCTGAACTGCAGTCTAAAGTAACATAATCCAGAAAAAGCTGTACATTAAGTTGAGATCCTAAACCAATGCAGAATCCTGTTGGTCCATTGTAATGCAAATTTGGGGGAGCTTTGAGCTAAATCTCAGACTTCCATTTTTAATATGGAAATATGATTTATTGATAAAGTATGCAGAAAGATATAGATATACATCACATTGTGAATCTATTTGGAAACTTACCATGATTTGCCTTAGAGGTGAAGTGCTGAGAATTGTTTTAACTATCCCTAGCCTTCCAGGGAGATTAATCGTTAAAACTCTGTAACATAGATCACATTGTTAACCTCTTTTGCTCACAACTGTTTAACCATACATCTAGAGTGAATTAAGCTAACATAAGTAAAAAACTATTGTTTTAATCTGTAGATTGATTTTTGTTATTCATTTTGCTTAAAGTTGCACTTCCTTATTTTTTTGCATCATGTTAACGTAGTTTTTTTTACACTTTGCTAATAGCATTTAATAAGATTCTGAGATTCAATAAAAATAAATTTCCAGTTTTATACTACAAGAAAACATGTTACTGTCTAAATTAGAAAGTTAGAACAATCATGTTAAGACTTCACACACGATGTAGACTCAAGGATATGACTCCTAATGACTTAGCAATTTTTCAAAGTCTTTGCTACATTGTCAAAAACCATTTCAAAACCTTCAGTTAATTGAGCTTTACAACTAAGCCAGGGCATGCTCTGAATGCCACTAATAACAAATGGAAAATCCCAGTTGATTTGAGCTGTCTAGAAACAACCTATAGCAGCTATCTATTTATATGTATGTTACATGATAATTTTGGCCAATATGTGTATTTTTTAATACAAACTACATTAAAATTAAGCTCATCCAATGTTTTCTTTATGGTGTAATTGTTTTTCTGGAGACTATATAAACTTTAAGGGTATGACTTGAAGAACAAGCTTTCTCACAGTCTCACACCTCATTTGGAGAATATTAACACCCATTTCCTTTTTTCTTTAATAATCATTATTCCACAAACAAGACTGTCCTGATTTGCTGGAAACTGATGAGCAGTCAGTCCATTACACAAAAGTTATTCTATCCATCGCCTGATGTGTAAGAGAAA